TAACAACATTGACATATAAACTTTGTGGATTATACCGTTTAGTTACATATAAAAAAGACCTAAGTTTAAAAAATAATCTAGAATGTATACAAATATATAAATATGGAGACAGATTTGTGACACCACTTTTTTTTACATAACTGTTGACACATTTTGTGGTCCAATCTGTAATGTAGTTTAATGATCCTATCAACCTATCTTTTAGAACATCATTTATAGACCATCCCTACAAAAAATTAGATAAATCTAAAACCATTAAGATATTCATTTGTGGTGAAGAAAATGGACATTTACGGTTCTACAAAAAAATCATAAACCCTTAATCTAACGGTAATATGTGTAAAAAAAGTAATGTCACGGATCTGTCCCTTGAAAAAATTTGTACATTTTTTTTTTATGTTATCTTGTATTTTGTGAAAGAACAGATATTGCAAATATTGAGTTTATAAGTCGTCAATCAAAGAATTTCAATAACTAGCTGTGTTAAGAGAATTATAAGCGTATTATATATATATATATATATATATATATATATATATATATATATATATATTATGTAACTGGATAATCAAGCTAGGTTAGCTATACGTGTTGCCACTTGCCACCATGTCATGTTGCATTTCAAAGCTCTCGATGACAACCCGTACGTACCATGCATACAGTAATACACGAACTTATAAAACTAGCTACCCTGGAATAGATGGTCCCGGTACAAAGTTCAGAGACCTTCCTTGTTAAACCATACAATGACTATCTCTGTCTTTGGAGCATAAAATCTCGAGCAATTTACAGGTCCCCCCACCGTACCACTCTCTCTGCTTCGCAGTCGGGGTTAGCAGCAAAGAATGCCGACCACGATCAACGAGCCCCATACTATACAGCTTTGAAACTTCAACGTTATAAGTTGATCATTTTTAGGACCAGTTCATGATCATCAGCTCTCTCGATATGTATCATTCAATTTCTGGACAGCTCTCCTTCATGACTATATGGAGTTAATTAAGTAATTAACTTCCGGGGAAGTAAAGTTGTTTTCATAGGAACTTGCCTTCCCTTCACATGTCCCAATCCTCACGAAGGGAACCGTCTATTAGTCGATGAGAGGCACTTTTCCAATTTCCATGGATATTAAGATTATTTTGATAAGATTATTGAATTATGTATTGAATAAGAATATCATGTCTCATGGAAGCTCATTCCAATCAGCTATATTTTGAGTCTTGTTTTCATTTGTTTATATGCATGTTAGGATTCAAGCATTTATCTTCATATTGATAACAGTCTTCGAATTATGCAGAAAATCAAAGCATTGCAGAAAAGGAGCTTTAAGCAGTAGAGAGAAAACAGAGAAATGAATGTAAAAACTAGAACAAAAAACACTTTGCACAACGTAGGTCCTTCGTCGCGCAAAGTTAAAAAACTATCGTGCGAACATTAGCGCAACGAACCTTTGTCGTGCGCCAACCGTCGTGCCAATGCAGTAACAAAAGGGTTTGCGGGACGAAGAAGTAACCTACATCGCACAGAGAGACTTTGTGCGACGCACCTCCTACGTCGTGCAAAGCCAAAGTGGGGTGCATCGTGCAAACTGGCTTTGCACGACGTAGGGATGCATCATGCAAAGTCTCTTTGCACGACGTAAGAAGTGCGTCGCGCAAACCCTTTTTTTTTTATTTTTTTTTTATTTTTTTTATTTTGGTCAAAAATATATATATTTTTTAATTTTTGATAAATATTGTAATTAAATTCTAAACAATAATTAATTAACCAAGCAAAAGTACTTAATTATAAAATATATGAAAATGTACATACAAGATGTCCGAACAAAAATGAAAAAACTACAAGTAGTCTTCTAGGTTTGATACATCAGGCTAATGGGTATCGGTAGGGCAAGGTGGCTCTGAGGTCGAAGGTGGAGCAGGATGAAGTGCTGGTAGCGAGACTTGGAGGCCGGACATCTGTATGGCTCATACAAGGTCTCTTGCCCTGGGCCCTTATCTGCACCCTCATCTGCTCACCCTGTGCCCTTATCTGCTTTTCCTGGATCGCAAGCTCACCGTCCTGGCATAGTTCCTCATCTCCTCGCCCTGGGCCTTTATCTGCACCCTCATCTGCTCGTCCTGTGCCCTTATCTGCTTTTCCTGGACCGCAAGCTGACCCCTTAGGGTTGTCACTTCCTCCTTCGACCTCTGCTGTGTTCGATTTGGAAGAAGGGGCATTCATCTCATGAACCCACGCTTTCCCCATACATCGAACAACCTTGCCATGACGACGACCGAAGTTCTGATCCAGGACATCAGTCATGATCTAAAAACCTACATCCTCAGGTACCGTGATTTCCTTGATCGGGGTCTTCGGGGAAAGCTGGGATGTTGCTTCTTGGAGAACAGCAGTACTCTTTTCCACCATAGCAGCCTGTAATAATAAAGAAAAAACATATAATGTTTAATAACAAAATATAAATAATATTTGAACGATTAATACATATAAGAATAATAATAATTACATGTACTTACATGAAGCTGCTCAGTGGTCTCATTACCAGGTCGAATGTAAACATCCTTGAACATGTCAATCTCTGGGAACTTAGAACCCTCCTGAAGAAAAAAAACATTAAGAAAATTTTATTAATCAATAATAATAAAAAAATTGAATAAAATTTCTAAGTTAATATACTTTTACTTGACATCGTGCCTCAAGCCTATACGAAAAGGGCATCGAACAGGAATGGTGGAGAAGTTTCTTGCCAGCAACATATTTCTTCTGTTAAACACACAATATACATGTTAGTGCTACTATTTGAAATAAATTTATAAAAAAAAGCTTAAAAAAATAAGTAAAACAATAATAAATTATTATTAAAATATTATGTACATACCACAAAATTTGGGTCCGTAAAATGTTTGTAGAGCCACTCCTAATCCTTCGGTCGGTCCTGCAACTCGCTTGGAACATGTAGGCGAGCAATCTCCAAATCATCCCATCGCTTAAAATACGTGTGAAAATTGTTCTTCCATTGTTTGTACCAGGTTGCTAAGGTCTCCTCTAAGTAGGCGATGGTCTCGGGGGATCTGTCCTGAAGATCATAAATGACCCACGAATATGAAAAACAATAAAATAATAGTAAGAAATTTAATAATATTAAGATAATATATTTTGGTTTTTAATATTTGTAAACAAAATTAAAAAAATGATAAAGGCTAAAAATTAATATACTAACCGACAACTTGTCTCACACCAGTTTCTTCATCTCCTCCGGAATTTCTGCCCAAGACTCCCACTGAAAAGGACAATTTTGTCGAATAACAACACCATAGCTATTAGCGATGTTGCTGTGCTGCTGTGAGGTAACGGCTCCATGATGTCGCGGGTCATGCGCAATCTTCATCTTGAAGGTGCTTGATGTACGTTTTGTGCCTGCTTCAGCATTCGACTAGGGCCCCTGGTGTTTTTTTTAGCTGGCCAAAAATACTTAAATGGTGAAAACCCTAAGCTTAAATTTGTACAAAAAATTCGACACAACCTCCTCTAATAGTATAGCATTTCTCAAAACCTTAAAACAGTAAAATAACAGTAATTCATAACCCGCAACACATTTTCACAATCCAACAAATTTTCCCCAGCATAAAAATATTAGGTTTAAAATGAAAAAAAAAAAATACAATGTAGTGAGAATTAGAAAAAACTACATAGCTGGGAGGCCTCATCCTTGACTCTGGATGCCGAGGAAGTGTGATCAGAAGGCTCCGGCTCGCAGCAAAGTCGGTGAGGCCGCTGTGCATTGAGCGGCTGAACCAACACTGATAATGTCGATGAGACGGGCACCTTGGACGCCGTAGAAGTAGCCTCATTAAGGGGTGTAGGCTCCCCAATCAATGGAGCACTCACGGCTGGAGCAGTAGATGGTGATAATGCAGGAGGCGTATTGGTCACAATACGATGATGAGTGATCAATTGCGACATCTATACACTTTTTGAACCATAAAAATATAACATTAGAAACTAATCCTTGCATTTGAAACTAGAACAAAAAAGTAAAGAAAACTGAACAAATAAACCATGTGTGAAAAAAGCAAAGAAAACTGAACAAACATTAACCGAAGATTAAAAAGTGTAATGAATCCAAGGCAGCACGATTGATTAAAAAGAGTCAAACCTAAACCAAGAGACCTATCCTAATCTGTCAAACCCCCAACCCAACTTTCTATAATTTGATTTCCCAGGCTTAGTGTGTTTAATCACAACAATTACTAATCAAAGGCAACACGGTGGCCTGTTTTTTTTACTACGTATAATTCGATCTCCCAGGCTACGGCTTTTACAATTCCTCCCTCGGCGAAAACAACGACAGAGTTTATGCAATCGGGCTCTGTCGAGGAGATATTAGAAAGGAAACTTGCGGTACCTGCCTTTCTGACATTGCGAACGGTCTCACGAATAATTGTCCTAATCAGAAGGAGGCAATTAGATGGTTACCCAATTGTATGTTACGCTACTCAAACCGCTCCATATATGGCATAATGGAAATTAGTCCGGCTTACTATGCTTGGAATGTATACAATGTATCCACGGGCTTTGATGCATTCAATCAAGAGCTTTCTCGCTTATTTAATGGACTAGGAGGCAAAGCAGCAACGAGTGGTGATCTTCGGAAGTTTGCATCAGGAAACGCAACCATTCCAAGTGCTAATATAACAATATATGGTCTTGCTCAGTGCACCCCAGATTTGTCCGAGCAAAGTTGTATTGATTGCTTAGAGTATGCTTCGGGAGGTCTTGGATCATGTTGTAATGGATCACCTGGTGTGAGAGCTGTGACCCCAAGTTGTAGCTTGAGGTATGAAATTTTCCCCTTTGTTGGAGATACAAATGGGGCACCACCACCATCCCCACCATTGGCAACACCACCGGCCAATACTGCGATTCCAGCAGGTATTATGAAACACCACCATTGGGCGAGGACTCCTTTACCTAAATGAAGATTCTCGTCTTGAATAATTCATCGTGATATGAAAGCAAGTAACATTTTTTTAGATAGAGAAATGCAACCCAAAATTGCAGATTTTGGAATGGCAAGACTGTTTGATCTTGATCAAACACAAGGTGCTACCAGTCGAGTTGTAGGGACGTAGTAAGTACTAGCAGATCTTGTGTGGCTTATAATCTCAAAGCTCATGTCATTTAACAATTCAAGTAAATTAAGAACACACAACAATATAATTTGGGCATGACCATGACAAGTTTCAAATATAATAAAAAATGTTAAACTTGCTTTTGTTGATATGCAGTGGTTATATGGCACCTGAATATGTAATGCACGGACACTTTTCTGTTAAGTCGGATGTGTACAGCTTTGGTGTGTTAGTTTTGGAGATAATTACTGGACAGAAAAATAGTTCTTTCCGTCCTGGTGGGAACGTGGAGGACCTTCTAAGTTATGTAAGTAACACAAAGAGTTGGGCTATACATATCCCTGCAACTTATTCAGATTATACTAACGAATGAAAGGTCCTATCTGACTTTGTTAATTCCTAACTACTCACAAACTTATGCAGGCCTGGAAAAGTTGGAAGGAGGACACAGCTTCAAATTTAATAGATCCCATATCGAAGAGTGGTTCAATACCAGAAATAATGAGATGCATCCACATAGGATTGTTATGTGTGCAACCAAATATAGCTGATAGGCCAACCATGGCTACAGTTATTCTCATGCTTACTAGCTACTCTCTGGATCTTCCAGTACCCTCACAACCAGCATTTTATATGGATGGTGGCATTGAATCCTCATCTGATACGTCTTTGGGATGGAAGGATAATTCTGGTGTGACAAGATTAGATCTGTCTAAAAGAAACTCTGTAGAATATCTGCTACATGGATAGCTTCGATTCCAAGTTACAACTTCACTAGTTGATCGATGATGCTATGAAATGTTTATGTTGTTGTTATGTAAATGTGATTCCTTGTTTAGGTATACAGTTTCTGACTAATCTTAAGTGATTGGGGTGAATTGGCCTTTCTTTTTTATTACTCAAGCGATAGTCTACATTAAATTAAAGCTTATTTTTAAAGGAAAACTAATGAAAATAACTTTAAAACTTTAAGTTTTAATAATAAAGACAAAATAAATTGTAAAGTGAATAGTACCAGGATTGACTTTTTAATGTAAAAATATGGTTTTTCGTTAAAGTGAACAGTACCGTGGGTTTTTCGTTAAAACTCCCTATTTTTAACTACGCCCCTTGAAACTCGATTTTGGTCTTACCTTACCTCTATAACCCAAGAGTCACAACTTTACTCACTGAAACTCAAAATTTGTTCCACTTTGACTTGTGTATTCTCTTTTTCCGCTGAAATTCAAAAGTCATCCAGTGGATCATATGTGAGATCCACCGCCCAATAAGACTATATTAAATGTGTCAATGAATTTGATTATAAAGTGAATCTTTTACAAGAAGAAATTATGAAGTGGATTTTTTTGGGTTGTTGTGCTCAAGTTGCAGAGATTAGGAAAAATAAATAAATAAATTGATTAGCCTAATACACCAAATTAAACCCACCTAGCGGAATTAACAAACCTAAGACAAATGTGAAGCGAATTGTGAGTTTTATAAACTAAAATAATGACTTTTAAGTTTTAGGGGGCAAATGAGATCAAAATCGAGTTCTATGTAGCAAAGGGGAACAAACTTTGAATTTCAAAGAGTAAAATGACGATTTTTGAGTTATATAAAACAAAGTAAAATTAAAATCTAATTTTAAAAGCATAGCTAAAATTAAGCCCTAAATTAAATTAAGCATTGCGAAGGAAGATTTGAGATGCGGAGACCTTCCTAAATTACGTTTTACCGGACTGTCGAATCATTCTTCAACATTGTGATGGATACCGATTTGACACTTCAACGACATGAGAAGAATATACTCCATAGCTAATGAGATACATAATTCATGACAATATTATTTTTTGAAGATCCAAGTACAAGGACATTATAAATATCTTTTTTTTTACATTTTATAAGCTTCTATTTTATTGTCTTTTAGACTTGTTCTCCGTTTATTTGTCTCTTCCCTTTCCTTTAACTTCCACATTGTTGCAGCTGCGTGGATCTGTTATTTGGTCTATTGCAGAAGCCAAACCTTGGAAGTTCGTGCCCTGTCCTCACTCTCCTCAACCACTCCCCTTTGAATCTTAGACCAATTGTTAAGTTGAATTTGTTTAAGATAATATAATAATAATTTGTATAAAAGAGAAGATAATGATCATAATATATTTCTTAAGTAATCAAAGAATTAGACATAAAGCATGAACTCATATGATATTGTAACACACTAAGATTGAAATGTGGGGTCCGTCACTCTTTTCTCTTTAATCATAATCGCCAATATCTTCATTGTAGAAAAAAGGATATTTGATGATTTTGATTCATCTTCACGTGTTGATTATATACTGCATAAAATGTAATTTATCACGTGACCCCTAATGACATTTTTGTCTTAATGTCTTTGTGTGCACTTTACCTCAAAATAATGCAACACTAAAGTTCTCATGCTCTATGAACAACCTCAAGTATTTTCACATATAATTGTGTGTGTATATATATATATATATATATATATATATATATATATATCCCATTATAAATGTGGGACCATGATTTTCTAGGATCGTAGTAAGGGGGATCCGAATACGAATAACTCAGAAGTTTGGTCATGGACTTAATAGCTTCCGCATCGAAGTTGATAGACGAATTAGCGTTGCCACCATCATCTTGCCCTGGAGTAGTGGGCGAAGTCTGAAGACTTCATTGAGATTGATCATACTTGTTTCGCAAAACACGGAAACCTGATCCAGTTTGGGATCAGCCAAGTTTCCTATATTCTTGAAATCCCTACGATTTAAGGATTGGCGTGCACCGTAAGTAATCCAACTCTTAAGAGAATGAAATATCTACTCCAAGATATTCTTAAGGATTCTCTCGGTTTAATACGGAATCCATATCCTAAAAGAACTTTATCGTGATTGGTATAAATACATCCTTCTAGGTTCATCTCTAGTAAAGCAATTATCGTGCACTTATTCTCTTGCCTATAATTAAGTCTCATAATATTGTTTACTAACTTGACTGTCAAAGAACCTTTGGCATACACCTGTCGGTCCTTTGCTTACAGTTGTTTACTATCTTGCAGGCTACACAAGTTTTTTCATCTCCTCTACATATAGGGGTGCGCAAATTTGGCTCCAACAATTGGTGCTTTTATTGAGAGTTGAACTCAAGAACCTTTTAACCAAATCACTTTACTAACAATGTTATTTCAAAGAAAAGTCCTTGCATCTCCATCAACCTAGAACAGGACGATACTTCTGGTGAAGAAGATGTCCCCACCATGGATCAAATCTGGAAAACATTGATCAAGATCAATGCTTCAATCAACACTTCTGGTGGCTTGCAAGAAGCCTAGGGCTATAGCTTCCATCAACAAAACCTTGCAATCGTCTCTAACACCTTGATGTTCTTCGATCTTGGTTTAGAATATTGTTAGTCCTAATTCTGCTCATGATAGAAGAGCGCGCATGCAAAAATAAAGACAGAAGAGATCGTGAAACCAAATACCAGGAATAATGGTTCATGGTTAGGTACTTCAACGATCAAGTTAGAGAATGGTGAAAGTAGGTACAATGGATGTTAAGTATTTTGAGATAGTTCCAATTGTCTAACCATTTGAGAGGAGTCAAGACGGCTATTTATAGGTGTTGAGGAGTTGGTTTGAGTGCTCTGCCAACTCTCTAAGACATCAGAGTAATTGAAGTCAAGAAAATGTCACTATTCACTCAAACTCCTCTGCAACATGGCTCATAACAGTCTAACCTATGCGCCGCATGGGTTAGAGCAGTCTATCTTCTACGCAGCATGGGTCATTCACGTCAGTCTAACCAATCAGGCTGACCAATCAACCATGAAATTGGAATTTTGCAACTGGGATTTGATTGAACGAATTGGCATCTGAGTAGGGGCTGTTGAGTATGATGTAGAGTACCCTCAATACCCACTCTGGTCAAAGAACCTATAGGACGATAGACTGTGAATCCCTGTTAGGACTTCAACAGTAAAGTGACTGTGAGATACTTGCTAGCCACCAGATCATCATTGTGACATAATGAGTACCTTACCTTGGGTCGGACTGATGGAGTGGGATGATGTTGTTAGACATATTCCCTTAATGCCACTCATTTGATGTAATAGCTTATGGAATACTTATCATGTTAAACTCTTATTTGTTTAATGAAAGGGGAAAGCTTATGTGAATCTCTATATACTGTATGATGTGTTTAATCAATAACATAATCCAAGAAATGTATTTAATTTATGGTAGAAGTCATCTAAGCAAGTTAGATCAATGAGACCTTTCTCTTATGTTCATTCCTAAAATATTTCTAACCATAAGATTATCGATGGGGCATTGACAATCCACTAAGGTTAGTTTGTGTTATGTTAACTCAAGTGGAAGTATGACTAGTCTCAAGTCATTAAATGTTAGACACCCAGACAAGCATATAGGTGCTCAAAAGAGTATTAAGTACGTTAAACAATGATTGACAGAGAGTTCTAACATACATTCGTGTTAGAACACAAAAGTTACAATAATACAAGGTAGTCCTTTGACCTGAGACATCATAGATGTCTAGTAGTTAGATCCCTTATCTTTGACTATATTAAAGGCATTCCACTGAGGATTTCCACGAAATTGTTAGGGTTAAGCTACCTAACCATGTAGGCATGAAAATGTACAACAAGGAATCTCTTGTTGGAGAATAATTTAGAAACAACAAAAATAACAGAAATACAGAATCGAAATACTTATACTTTATTATTCAAAACCACTTGCAATACAGAATACCATTACACAATAAATACAAAAATTATAATAATACTAACTTGAATGAATCAAAGGTAGAGGCTAGCGCAAAAGCTATGTCCTTCGAATAGTATTTCCGTCCCACTCTTGTGCTTGTGGTTCTACAATGTCTGCTCGACCAAGATACAACTACCTAATTCTACAACCCGCACACTAGATTATAGAATTCTAGCGAATTGCTCTGTGTGTTTACTCTCTGGAAATTTTGTACGGAAGACAAGGAGGAAGAAAAGATGATTTTTGATGGAACTGAGGACTTCAGTTATATAGGCTCTTTCATACCTCTTCAAACACCCTTTGGATGTATCTGAAGCTATACAACTCTTTCCAAAGAGTTGTGTCTATTAATCAAAACGTTTTTAATTAATTTAATTAAAAACTTAAATCGAAATTAAAACTAATTGATCAGATTAATTTTAATTCCTTGGCCCCAAGTGCCCCGAGGCCCAAGACCCTTGTCTTGATTAATTAATATTAATTTATTATATTAATATTATAGTATAATCATCAAGCCTAATCCACACAACCATAAAGCCCAAACCTTCAATCCATTTCTAAATGGTCCAAGTTTTAATTACTAAGAAGAAGAAGGAATAAGCCTATATGAAGGCTAGTGAAAAAACATTGTTGCCCGATGTGGGACAAGAGGGTCTCAAAACTCCTACATCTCTAACCTTCCATGGTGGAAAGAGAATACTCTAAGATATGATTCAAGAGTTTTTGGCCAAAGCTTATGAATGAGATTAAGGAAGCATTTTCCAAATCACATTCAATAGAATCACATAGAGAAGTATCACATTGGATAGTAGACATGCAACAAACTATCACTTAAACAATGTAGTCAAGAGTATTGAATTAGAGAATGACTGTATTGCATTATAGTTGTCACTCAATAGGTTCTCCAACCACTTATACTAGCTTGGGTAGCCATAACATATTGCTAGGTGTCACTCATAGTTTGTGGAACCCCTGAAGATTAGCGACCACTAATCTTCAACAAATGGGATAATTGAAAGTTAATCTCAATTCAAAATCGATTGTTAAGGTTACAATCGCCCACTACCTCAATAACTGGAACCTAATGGATCGTATACTGAGTAAGGAAGAATGTGAAGAAATATCAATGACATGGATAAGCAATTAAATAGTTTAATTGAGTATAGTCAAGATTAATTAGTTATGTAATTAATCATATGAAAAAGATTCGTATTAGGCTTTATGTTAGTTTCAGGTTTCGGGCATCAATATGAGTTTTGGTCCATAAGGCCCATTGAGTTTTGGTTGTATGACAATTAAAACAAAATGGAAATCAACCCAAAACCAAAGTCAAAACCGGCCATGCTAAGAAAGAGTGTGACAGTGGCTTTAACCTCATTAGGGTTTCTTTAAGGCAAAAAAATGAACCTCTCTCTCTCTCTCTCTCTCTCTCTCTCTCTCTCTCTCTATTTTCTTTCTAAAGGGGCTGGCCTTCCTAGAGAAGTTTACTAGCATCAAACTTCTTCTAAGCAATCCATCTCGTCTTCACCTCTCATCCTTGGTTTGGAGATGTAGAGGCTTAGAATCTTGCAAGCTTTAGGAGGTCCTTTCCTCAAATCCTTAAGGAGCAAAGGAGAAGATAATAAGCAAATATACAAGGAGAGAACTTCAAAGACAAGGAAGCATACAAGGAGCTTGGAGAGAACTTGAAGGCTCTTTACTTAGGTGATAACCCTGTGAACCAAAGATGAGTTTCAAGGGTGTGAAAGCTCTAAACTCTACTCTCTTTAATTAGTAAAGAAACTTGGTTCACCAACACTACGTTTTGAATTTCATGACTTATAGAAATGTTTTTTTAGTGCATGCTTACTTTAAGAGTTATTATGTATGTATGCTCAAACGGTCTTAGTTAGACAAGATTTTTCCTTCAAGTAGTATCAAGAGCCCAAGTCTAGCCTTCGGTGGATCCTTTTGGTATTTCATGGTTTGTGATTTAAATGTTGTAGCTGTTACAAGTTTATTCTTGCTTCATTTAATGTAAATTTTACTTGAACATTTATCATCTCAAAAGTTGTAGATGTATTTCATTTGAGCATGAATTTTACCTAAAAGTTGGCTTGGAGTCATCATTATTACAGTTATCCTACTTCAAATAATCAATTCCCTGCAAAGAAAGTGCATGAGCATTTTCAAGATTCTCTGACAACATATCATCATTGGAGATGTTGATTGAGTGAATTGATTACAACATATATATCATACCCAAGGGATTTGGATCCTCAACTGACCTAATGGAGAGGATCCTCCTAACCCATAATCATGAGCCGTTGGATTTTTATCCAACGGCTACAAACAGGGGGGTCCTTTAAAGTTATAATAATTATAGCTGTTAGATAAAAATCCAACGGTCCACGATAATGGATCAGGAAGATCCTCTCCATTGGCTCAGAAGAGGATCCCAAATCCATACCCAAGCAGCAAATTATTGTAAACTATTTGTGTCCCTCTCTGACTGCTCATCTTCTGATTGTATCTGGACAGGATCTTTTTATCTTTATGGTTTATTCACTGTTTGGTTCTGGTTCAGTCGTCACCTTTTGCTTGGAAGTACAAGAAATGTCGTTAGATTATGAAATTAGGAGAGTTGGGAGATATTTTGTGCTGATTTCTATTTGTTAACTGACTTTTGTATTTTTGGTTGCTACCTTGCTCTTAATTTCTCTTTTTCTTCCTTCTTTGCTGATCTTTGATTTTTACAGTCCCACTGCAAAAATCGCACCATACGTGTTTTGCCTATTTTTGTTCATGTTCCTATTGTTTGTTATTGTACGGGTGATCCTGCATGTTTTTTCGTCTGTGCTTATGTTTTGGAGGTTTTATTTGGGACAGTCCATTGTTTATTGCTTTTCATGGTTACTGGTTTGGTTAGATTGCTGCCTTTGATTTATTTACGGCTGGTTTGGTTACGGTTTTTTTTTTTTGGCCATTTTGTGATTGGGATATGATTGTAGGTTTCTTCCATTTCTCTGTATTTTTCTGGTGCTTGCTTACATAAGTTTTAAGCACTGACGAAATCCTGGGGTTTTTTTTTTTTTTTTTTTTTTTTCAAAAGAACCTAGGATTATTTTGATGTGTGTTGTTAAACAAATTTGATTTAATAATTAGGGTCTAGGTTTATGTTTTGGTAATGGGTTCAATCCTTTTCCTTCTCCAAACTGTCAGTTTAGGGATGGTTAGGGCAAGTGTAGGCAGGGAAATGAAAGTTGACATTTTGAGGCTTACCTTTTGGTTGGTGGCTGAGAAAAATGGGGGAAAAGGAAAAGAAAATTGTAGTGTTGAGTGGCTCAGTGGTGGTCTTTATGCAGTGCATTTTTTTTTTTTTTTTTAAATTAAGTCCAAATGCATTTTTGTTTATGTGGAATCTGCCACAGATTAAGTCCATTAGACTGTCACATATTAAGTTTATTTCCCTCTGTCCATTTGTTTTCACCTTGAATTCTTACTCTGAATCTCTCTAATTTTTTGCACTTTAGTTCGGACTCCCATCGCAACATCATAATCTGCTCTTGTTGCTGCCTTTGATGTAAGGGTTATAAGCCATTGCTTATGAATTAAGACTTTGGTATGCCGCTTCCTGTGTTATCCATTTGAGCTAGCATGACTTTAAGTTTGCGTTATTATTTTGTCCTTTTGTTTATTTTTCTAAACATGACTCCACCATTACTTTGATAAATCAGCTTATTCAGTTTTCAATTTAATTCGTTTCTCAATTTTTTATCTATCTAGATTGATGGAGGTGATGCCAGTTCATTGTTTGAGGCCATACCAGCCAGCAAACAAAAGATGTGGGTCACAAAAACCATCGGAGATGATCCTCAGCCTCAAAGTCTTGATTGTGTGTTTGTCGATAAACATGTGAGTTTTACACCTTTTTGTTATCGTAAGATGCTAACGTTTTTATGTATCAAAGTGTGCACGCTGTGTTCTTAGTACAACAAATTTTGTGGTCAAACATGCCCTAAAGTTCATGAACTAACTGCTCTATGCATTTCGCTGCCCAATTATACATCACTTCCACATGATTAACGTTTGTCTGGTTTATTGTTTTATTGGATTCAATCATGGGCCTCAATATTAATTTTTATACCGGGCCAATGGATTCATGCATATGCACAAGAAATCAAAATTCCATCTTCTCCATATAATGGCATGGATTACGATTTTGTTCTTACAAAAACAAATTTCAATGTGTGTCATGGACACTTTTGTTCTCTTTGCATTTCACTAAAGATATTATATTTTATTCTGTTTGAACAAGATTTTTAAAATGTGCAAACGAAAATGAGTAGAAACCATCAATTCTTCTTTTTCTTAATATGTTTTGTCTGTTTTTTTTTTTACCCATAAAAATATAATTAAAAGTTCTTTTACAAGGTTGCTTCAATTGCTTCAGTTGTCCCTCATCCTGCCGTGGTTGAATTGAACAAGAAAACCGCAATCGTTCCCATTGACAAAACAAACCAGGAGATCCCAAAGCAATGGTTCAATATTGACCTTGATCAGCTTTATAAGAGAATCAACAACGATGCTCATCTGACAAGTAATAAATTTAGTTTTAAGTGCTGCACTTAAATCTGAAATCATCATTATAATTTTTTTTGTTAGCTTCGGTGCACAATCATTTCCACCACTGAATATCATTTGCAGATGTATTTGGTTGTTTAACGGCTATGCAACCAACTGAAGACGTCACTGTCAAAAACTCAAGAATTGCGAATAAGAGAAATCTTAACTTGCAAAATATCATGTCATTCTTGTTTTCGTGAAGTTTGAATTACGATTTACACGTGTCGTATTTATGACGTATAAAAAAACATCACTTTTTTTTTTTTTTTTTTAAACTTACAGGGGCGAAACAGTTAGGATCACCTTATGGGGAGAAGCTGCAACCAGTTTTGAGGACAGCGGAATGCAATCACTTCTACCACCTATATTCATTGCTTTAACAAGCCTCAAAGTTAAACAATACCAAGGTTATACCCCAACTTGCTTTATTTAGCTGCTTAAAGCTTCAGTTTGTTGCTTGTTATGTTTTATCTATAGGAAACCCTGTTCTTGGAAGCATGGGATCAACTGTTTGTGTTTTCAATCCGGACATTCCACAGCTCTCCCAATACAAACAAAAGTAAATCGACAACCCTCCTTTAATAACTTTGGCATTTATATTTCTTCGTTTAATTTTTCTCAACCTAAACATGCACGAAACAGGTTTGAGCATCTAAGATCACCTGTTCGAATCCTGCCCATCTCAGCCGAGATGTATGCAGACCATACGGTCGATCCTAATTATGAGTCCAAAACGATTGATGAGTTGCTTCTGCTTGATCCTGTTTTACACAAGGTTAGTCTCTTATCACCAACCTGTTAACAAAAATCGCATCGTTTTAATAATAGAATTTTATTGGTGCATCTTCCTTGGCTACTTCTTGCTTTGTTTCTTTATTCATTTATATTCCATGTTGACAAGGTGATGGTTAAATGTCTTTCATTATTTAAAAAGTCTGTGATTCCATAACAGAATCCAAGTTTTGCATGCCGAGCTACTGTCGTTGGATTCAATTTGACTAGGGGTTGGTGGTACAAGTTGTGCCCGTCTTGTCATAAAGCTGTCAAGAAAACGTCAGGATCGTTTGAGTGCAATAAACATGGTTTATTAAACAGTATGTAGTTTCGGGTTGATATTAACAGTAATGGTTGTCTAACATAAAAATATCCAACCCTTGCATAGGTTTAAAATAAATCTTATTGTGGAAGATAGCACGAATGAACACAACGTCCTCATGATAAGAAGGCATGACGAAAAGATACTTCATGTTTCTTGCCACACTTTGGTGATAGAGGACGGATATGAGGATCCCTTCATGGTGCTACCCATTCTGAAAAAATTGGTCGACGAGACAAAGAGATTTTAGCTCCCTTTCGAAAATCAAAACAATGACTTTCGGAGACAGACTTCATCATTTATGGACTGCTCCAGGATCAGTTGCCCTCAAACCCATCGATTGCATCAATCGATCCACAAATGCCTGCTGCCATCGTAGGAAAAGCAATTATGAGTGAAGCGACCCCCGTCCTATTGACACCTTCCCAACGCCTGGACCAACAGCCCCAATCAGTTACACCTGCCAAGACTTCAAAGAGGGTGTTGTTCCTTAATGAATCAGCCAAATCTGACAGGTTAAGTTTTCCTCTCAATTATCGTTTCATATGTAAATCTTAATGAATATGCTTGCTTATTTTGGGTATACATATGTGTTTTACCGCTTATCAAAAATTGTTAGCCAATATTTTTGCACCGCTCTTTCACTCTTTTCCATGCCTATCATGATTCTCTCTAACCTTATAAATTGTACCTTCATTCACAGCAAAAAAAAACTCGCATCGGGCAAACAGAGACAACCAATTTTGCTAGAATTGCTAGAGAATTCCACTATCTGGTTGTCCCTAAGATTGAGCTTGTGGACAAGGAGCCAATTGCCGCACTAAGAACAAAGTCTCAAGCCAAAAAAACCAAAGATAGGTGAATTACAATTTGTTTTTCGCACGCATGCCTGCATAACATCCGTCCCATCAGTGTTTCCTAAACTATGGTTTATGTTTTGTACTATAGTGCTAAAGATGTCCGCCCACGGAAAAAATGAATGACCTTAGTTTCCATTATCAACTGCTACAAAGCCGTTCTCCATGTTTTTGCCTTTGAACATGTGTGTTTGAAAACTTATTTGCTAAAACAATAGAACAGTGCTTTTGTTTTTTGTTAACTACTTAAACAGGTGTCTGGCCTGCAGGGCATGTATTTTGCCACCTTAAATGCATAGGCAAAATATGTGTGGACTGCATCTTCCATCTATTTCTTCTATAACTCATGGAAACAGGCATCCTGCATCTTCATTGCTTTGAACATTAGTGCTTGAAAGATTAAGTGCTGAAACAAGAACAACCCACTTTTTTTTGCTTTTTTGTTTCGCTTGGTTGAATGTATGTAAAAGCTGAACTACATACCTTACCGACACTGTTCACTCATATATCTTTTTTGTTCCTTCACGATTATGTTGACTTTTTTTTCAAGTTAAATGTGTCTTATTCATGTGGTTAAGGCTGATGCATTCAAGTCCCGCAGCAAACATTTTGACTAGTTCTTCACTAATACGCAGAAGGGACTGCGTTTTAATCCAACTGGCAACTGCACCTACAATTTCAACATGCAAGAACTTGGATTGGATGGTTTCAACCGCGGCGGCGAAACCTCAAATATTCCCAATATTTCATGTTGTCTTAGTCAGAACGAAGTCGCCCCAGACTCATTCCAGTCAAAATTTCAAAGAATTAAAATAATCATAGACTCATGAAAATGTTCCTCCCATTGGCTTTTAATTAGCCTGCAGTTGATGACCACATTATTCTTTCAACTTTTGCCATGGTTTCCTCAAGATTTATCAGATTATTGTTCCTTTGTACACAAATCTTGTTACTTATCATCAACGTTAATTTCACTGAAGCCCAGCTTGGAACTCCTGGAATTCCAGCAGCCTACTGTTTTGACGACAAAGGTAACTACACCACTGGCAGCACCTATCAAACAAACCTCGATAGCCTCCTCTCCACCTTATTCGATGCCAGCAACGGCCACGGCTTTTACAATTCCTCCCTTGGCGAAAACAAGGACAGAGTTTATGCAATCGCTCTCTGTCGAGGAGATATTACAAAGGAAGCTTGCGGTACCTGCCTTTCAGACGCTGCAAACGGTCTCACGATTAAGTGTACCAATCAGAAGGAGGCAATTGGATGGTTACCCAATTGTATGTTACGCTACTCAAACCGCTCCATAGATCACATGAAGGAAATTTATCCGACTTACTACGCTATCAATACAGGAAAGGTATCCACAGGCTTGGATGCGTTCAATCAAGAGGTCTCTCGCTTATTTAACGGATTAGGAGGCAAAGCAGCAACGGGTGGTGATCTTCGTAAGTTTGCATCGGGAAATGCAAACATTCCAAGTTCTAATATAACAATATACGGTCTTGCTCAGTGCACCCCAGATTTGTCCAACCAAAGTTGTATTGATTGCTTAGAGTATGCTTCGGGAGGTCTGGGATCATGTTGTAATGGATCAATTGGTGTGCGAATTGTGACCCCAAGCTGTAGCTTAAGGTATGAACCTATCCCCTTTGTTGGAGATACAAATGAGACACCACCACCATCCCCACCATTAGCAACACCACCTGCCAATACTGCGATTCCAGGAGGTATTATATATATCAAGTCCTATTACTCTTTCAAAAATAAAAAATTGTTGTTTAATTATTTGAGATCAAATTGGACATCTTGGCATCATTTTTCTATCCGGCGTATTCTGAGCAATATGTCTGATTACTTCATTCGGATTGCAGCACCAGCTAGAAACAAGTTAATTTGCAATTTGGTTCTCAAAGTAAAATAAATTATCATTCGTTATACCTAGTGATAGAAAAGAATTAGCCAATTGAAAATTCAGACCCATACATAATCTGATATGATCAGAGAAGCTATATTTATGATTTTTGCAGGAAAGAAGAGTAATACTTCTCGGACTGTCATCATTACGGTTGTCACAGTTGTTTCCGTGGTACTAATTGTATCGATCTGCGTTTATCTGAGAGTGAAGAAGATAAAGGCAAAACTTGGAGGTAAGTTTAGATCAGTTAATTTTTACTTCCCTTGAAACAGAATGACCTCAGGGAACACCTACAATTGATGTAAGCGCTTAGACTCACACATTAACAAATATGTATCCTTTTAATTAAATATACATGCAATGGCCTTATTTGGTTTTTGGTTTAATATTGCTTCTCTCTCATGCAAAAAAGCAGATGAAATTCTTAATACAGAAGCCTTGCAGTTCGACCTTGCCTCCATAAGAACGGCTACAAATAACTTTTCTGAAGCCAATAAGCTTGGACGAGGTGGATTTGGTACAGTTTACAGGGTAATGAATCGTATCAATAAAGACATCAGTTAAAATTATTATTGTGAGAAATAAGTTAACATTCAGATGGTGGTTGAATGCAGGGTAGGATTTTGAACCAAGAAGATATAGCGGTTAAAAGGCTTTCTAGAGATTCTGCACAAGGAGATATAGAATTTAAAAATGAGGTCATGTTAGTAGCCAAACTTCAACACCGCAATTTAGTAAGGCTTCTTGGTTTCTGCTTGGAAGGAAACGAAAGGGTTCTTATCTATGAGTTTGTCCCTAATGCAAGCCTCGATCATTTCATATTTGGTAGGGTTGAGAACTTGGATTTCTGGTTTTATTTTGGAATGTATTGAAAATTCTTCTATGTACATGCTTCCCAAAAAGAGTACAGTGCAACAAAAGTCAATAACAGCCATTACAAAATAGTCTTCTTACTTGAATGTGCAGATCCAATCAAGCGCAAACATTTGGACTGGGACAGTCGCTACAAGATCATATTAGGAATTGGGCGAGGACTCCTTTACCTTCATGAAGATTCTCGTCTCAGAATAATTCATCGTGATATGAAAGCAAGTAACATTTTGTTAGATGCAGAAATGCAGCCCAAAATTGCAGATTTTGGCATGGCAAGACTGTTTGATCTTGATCAAACACAAGGTGATACCAGTCGAGTTGTAGGGACTTAGTAAGTACTAGCAGATCTTGTATGGCTTGTAATCTTAAAGTTCATGTCATTTAACAATGCAAGTAAATTAAGAACACACAACAAGATAATTGTGGCACAATCATTACAAGTTTCAAATATAATAACACAGGCTAACCTTGCTTTTGTTGATATGCAGTGGTTACATGGCACCTGAGTATGTAATGCGCGGGCACTTTTCTGTTAAGTCGGATGTGTATAGCTTCGGTGTGTTAGTTTTGGAGATAATTACTGGACAGAAAAATAGTTCTTTCCGTCACGGTGGGAACGTGGAGGACCTTCTAAGCTATGTAAGTTACACAGAAGGCTGGGCTATACATTATCCCTGGAATTTATTAAGATTAAACTAGCGAAAGAAAGGTCCTATCTGACTTTGTAATCTCTAACTATTCACAAACTTATGCAGGCATGGAAAAGTTGGAAGGAGGACACAGCTTCAAATTTAATAGATCCCTTGTTGAAGAGTGGTTCAATACCAGAAATAATGAGATGCGTCCACATAGGATTATTATGTGTGCAACAAAATATAGCTGATAGGCCAACCATGGCTGCAGTTATTCTCATGCTTACTACCAACTCTGTTGATCTTCCAGTACCCTCACAACCAGCATTTTTTATGGATGGTGGCATTGAATCCTCCTCTGACACGCCTTTGGGATGGAAGGATAATTCTGGTGTGACAAGGTTAGGTCTGTCTAAAAGTAGCTCCGTGAAATATCTGCTGCATGGATAGCTTCGATTCCAAGTCACAACCTCACTGGTTGACCGATGATGCAATGAAATGTTTGTTGTTTTGTAACAGTTTTGGTCCCTTTTTTTTATGTGATTCATTGTTTAGGTATACAGGTTCTGATTAATCTCAAGTTATTGGGATCAATTGGCCTTTCTTTTTTCTTTTATTTTTTCTGTTATTCTAGCAGTAGTCGATGTTAAATTAAAGCTTATTGTTAACTACGCCTCTTGAAATTCAATTTTGATCTTACTTCGTGACTGTAACTCAAAAATCATAACTCTATTGGATTAAATTCAAAATTCGTTCCACTTTAACTCGTGGACTCTCTATTATCACTAAAACTCAAAAGTTTCCCAATAAATCATATGTGGGATCAACCACAATAAAACTATGTTACATTGCCAATAAATTTGACTGTACATTTAGTGGCAAAGCCACAGTAGGGCAAGGAGGGGCGGCCGCCCCTTCGTCGTCGGAAATACCATGAAGGGCGAAGAATTTGCCCTTCTTAACTTGCACAGAAGGTGTTTGACGAAATGCTTTTTGCCAATACTTTCCACATATCCACTTAATATCGATAAAATCGGTGATTTATTAGATAATTAGGCGATTCATCAGCCAAATTCAAGTGAGATTGTATACAAATTTGAAACAAATTCACTAAAAATGAAGGGACTGGTGTAAAGGCTCATGACTCTTGAGGAAGAAACTGACTTGGGGTTATTGCCTAACCAACAGGATCCTGAGGATTTATGAATTGTGTCTGTTCATCGTATATCGTGCAGTCAGTTTTTGTCAGGTACTATTTGTGTTTAAATTTAATATGATTTCTAATCGCACAATGTACGATGAACGAACACGATTAACGGATCTTCGGGATCCTCACAAAGAGGATCTAACGAGGATCCAGATTCATTGCCTAAGAGCATCTCCAAAGCAAATGTCAAATTTTGAACATAAAATTTAAATTTAACAGCCTATGTTACATTTTGACATCTTTTAAAATTTTATTCTCCATCAGATATGTGACGAACTATCTCGAATTAATATATATTTTATCCTCGAATGCGTGGAAATGACTATTTTGCCCTCATGGGCCTTGTAACATGGTGGTACATAGAAAATTTTTAAATTATTTTTCTCGTTGATATAATTAAATTATTCTCAACGTCACAAGAATGTCGACACACTTCAGGGCTGAGTCAGGTTTGCAGTGGAAGAATTACGAAGGAAAAGAGGAAATTGGGTTGAACCCAAATTGCATGAGTTTTGTCATGCAGCCCAATTAGGATTTAGGACAATTTAAAATGCCCAATCCCGTAGGACACACACACTTACACACACATGTAACCTTCTTTCCATTTCTCTCTTCCTTTCTCGAATCCTCTTTGAGTCCGTACAACCAAACCCCCTAACCTTTGAATCTTGTCACACACTCACAGATCGAGTGTAAGGTTAGTATTATTGTGTTTCCCTCGACCTCACGAGTCGAGCCATACCCTTGGTTTGAGGAAAAGACCATGGAAACTTGAGATACTCGAGCTCCAGCAAGGAGTGTAATTTCTCTGACGTGATCGCAAAGGTCTTAGCCAGTTTTGAGACTTAGAAAGGTATTATTACAACTCCTCTAATGTTTTAGACTACTTTTGGTTAAGTTTGGACGTCAGAATAAGCTCGGTAGTGGGTGTGAGGAGTAGTCGATATTTTCAAGGATTTTTCCGGTCATTTTCCGTTGAATTTAGGGCCTCAAACAGGTATGGATATGTTCTCCTAGTCGAGAGCTTCATTTTGGTACAAATTTCATGAAATTTGGTGTTGAATGATGAAGATATTAAGGTTTAAAGTTTTTCCAGAAACCGGCGAGTGTAGAGGCGTCCGGTGCCGGAATCAGGCAAACCACCTAAGAAGAAAGGGGAATATTCCATCAAAGTTGATGGAATATACTAACGGTGTCAGGTAAAGTTAACGGTATATGCTGTTACTTAACAGAATATTCCCTAACACCCTTAAGGAATCCGTTAGTGTGCCAAGCACGTGCCTATGCATGGTCGGCACATGAGGGCACGTGGGATGTTGAAATTTTTTTCTAAAAATATGGGGATGCTCGTGGTGTTGAGTAGGCCACGATGGTATATTCAAACACCCTAATTGAGTAACGTATGAGAAGTTATTACAAAGTGTTGGTTATGTGCTTAAAAGTAACGTTAAAATAGTTGTTTCACATATAGGTGAAACGTTTCCAGATGACGAGTGCAGCCACGCAAGACTTGGGGTTTACGACCCGGCTACATATTAGTGAGTGGGCTTTTGGTTATATACATATATATATATATATATATATGTATATGTGCCTTAAGTTTCCCAAAAACTGTTTAAATGGTTTTTACGTTTTAAATGCCATGTCGTATGCATTACATACTAGAATATGCATTCGTATAGTTCTGTATATTACTGCTTGACGCTGCAGACGCTCAGGTAAGCCTCAGGTGAGTATATTTTAATGGTAGTGATGATGTTGTGTATTATTATGTTGGATTGCATTTAGTGATTTATATCCTGCACCTAGGTGTTAGTGCTCTGCCTAAGGTCAAGGCCTAGCATTCACGTGATCGTTCATCTCCTGCACCACAAGCTCACCTTGGATCCAAGGCAGGTGCCAGCTTATCGTATAGACCACATTAGGTGGTTCCGATTTGTAGGTGACTTGCTATACTTTGCACAGCCTTCACGTGATCGTAGCACTTGAGCGTATTTATTTATACCTAGCCTGTCGTACAAACCATAGTGGTGGTTCCGACTCATGTGCAGGATTTGATTTGATCGTTGAGTTATAGTTTTAGCCGTACAGGTCACGTTAGGTGACTCCAGCTGATATGTCACTTTATATTAGTACAATTCACCTAGCTCACTTATTCATGGTTGAGATGATTGACATGGCATACACATGGTTTGTTATTCTCAAGCATATTTTTATATATGTATACAACATTATTTTCTGGGAAACTTATACGGGTTTTACGGTGAGGGATCATTACTTTTGGGAAGATAAATGGTTTTGAAAAACTTTATTTTTACCCACTCACATTTTCTGTTTTGCGCCCTTCCAGATTCTAGGTAAACTTCGGCATTGGTGGCTTACGAGGAATCTTCGGCAATTCTGACAGACACCATCAATGTAGGGTTTCTTTATGTTCTGCATAATTATTACTTAGTCTTCTGGATTGCATTACTTAGTCTTCTGGATTGCATTTCGATAACTATGCTCTGGTTGTGTGTATCTTTACTCTAATCACTTTTACTTGTACTTATAGGCTAGTCTAAGGTAAGATAATCTAAGGTAAGATAACTAGTGGTTTTTATTTATTCGCATTTTCATATCATTACCACTTTCGCACAGCGCACATGGTTACTTTACCCTCACGTGACAGCTAGCATGCCTCGATTGAGGTCAAGGTGTGTCAGATATGTCAAATTAAATTATAAAATAAATGAATAAACTTATAAAAGGCATTTAATAATTACTAAATCCAAACCGATCACCTTTTTTTTTTGAACAAAAGGAAGGATTTGGATACTTGCCGAATCCCTTCCTTGGGGATCCTAGGGATCAATGCATGTGGACCGTTGATAAAAAATCGTGCGGGCCCAATTAAATGTTTTTTATATTTTTAAAAATAAAGTAACCTCATTTTGAGTGAAAAATATAAAAAAGGAAAAAATTGTGGCTGCACAATTTTTTGTCAACGGTCCACATGCGTTGATCACTAGGACCCCCAGGGAGGGGATCCGGCAAGGATCCAAATCCCAAAAGGAAACCGTTCAATTGAACAAAAGGGAACCTGTCAACAACAACATTAATTACAATAATGATTAAACAAATAAAAAATTAATAAAAAAATGAATAATTAATTTTGAAACTGCTGTCAAATTTGACCACAACTCTCTTTATTATCAATCCATGACACACCCCGATCGAGATCAGGGCATGCTGGCCGTCACGTGGAAGTGACGTAACCATGTGCACAGTGCGGAAGCTGATAAAATAATGGAAGTAGTACGAATAAATAAAAACTAGCATACTTAAGGTAATAGAACAAGTGCTAGCATAAGTGAGACACAAGTTCAGAGCAATAAACCTAAAGCAGTCCGAAAGAAAATGACGCAACAACAGTACACCCGAAGGTGGTCCTACGCTGGTGATCGTCTGTCAGATATGCCGGGAAAGCCTTCTGGGAAACCACCGAACGTGCTAGCCGACTAGAACCTGGAGGGGCGCAAAACAAAAGCGTGAGTGGGTAAAAACAAAGCTTCTCGAAAACCATTTAATAAATAAGTTCTAACCCCTCGCCGTAAAACCTGTATACTTCCCAGAAAATAGAATACATATATATATATATATATATATAAGTCATGCTCGAGGATATGCTCTACCAAGACCTCAAATAAAATGCAAGTGCTCAAGTAATATCACATCCAAATCATATAAACTGTCAGCCGGAGTCACTTAACGTGACCTGTACGGCTGAATCTAGAGCTCAAATCTCAATCTCACTATCTGGACCTGCACCCGAGTCGGAACCACCTAAAGTGGTCTGTACGACAGGCCTGGGTGTAATACATATAAACGCTCAAGTGCTACGATCACGTGAAGGCTGGGCGAAATGATTGCGGGTCACCTACGAGTCGGAACCACCTAAAGTGGTCTGTACGACAGGACTGTGCACCTAACTTGGATCCAAGCTGAGCGTGTGGTGCGGGAGGTGAACATCACGTGAAGGACTATGCCCTACTCTGGGCGGGAGCACTAACACCAGGGGTGCAGGTTATGAGCTCTCTATGTATCTCAAATCATTACTAAACGTAAATATAAATTACCACTCACCTGGCACTTACCTGAGCATCCACGGCACCAATACATACACACACATATATATAAATGCAACTAATCATGCATAATAACCGACAATATAAAAATGGCATATAACTAATGAACATTTAATTCAATTTCTGGGAAAATATAAGTATAT